CCGAACGGACCGCCTACGTACCTCCTACTTATTACTAAAGAAATAAGTGCGTACACTACTACTTCTTCGTGTACTAAAGAAGAGACTACCTACTCTCTCTCTCTCTCTCTCTCTCTCTCTCTCCCTCACCCTCTCCCTCTCCCTCTCCAAACCAAAGCCGACCATAGCTCTTCTCTTTCACATAAAAGATTGGCGGCATATCCATCTTTTGCAGTTCAATAAACCCTATCTCTCTCCCTCTCATCATTTGCAGTCCAAGAAACTTCTCTCCCTCTCTCTCTCTAAAATAAACGGATGATTTCAATAAAAGAAGCAGAGAAACCGAATGTGTACCTCTAATGGCTGGTCCACGCGAGAGAGAAGCTCCTGAGAATGCTCAGGCAATAGAGCTAACAATGAGGACAGAGCCGTCTGCGATTGTTTGGGAGGCATTCTCCTCATAAGATCCATGGCCGCCTCCATCTTTAGAGCGAGAACGTTGGAGAGAGAGAGACAAACACCGTCTTGAGAGAGAATTGCTCTAAAGAGAGAAAACAGCACAGTATTGCAGACGAAAACACCGTCTTGAGAGAGAATTGCTCTAAAGAGAGAAAACAGCACAGTATTGCAGACGAAAACTATAGCTCTTAGAGAGAGAAAGAACACATTGTCTCAAAGAAAACTACGATAACAGAAAGAGGAAGAGATTGAAATTGAGAGAGAAAACATCTAGAGAGAGAAGAGCTAATTGTCGCAGAAGACAACGAGAAGGAGAGAGAGAGAGAGGGAGGACAGAGAAACACGAAGCCTCTTTAGATAGAGAAAGGAAACGAAGAGAGAGAAAATGGGATGGCCATGGCGGACCCGAGTTTCCCTCGCGGGAACCGTTTCTTGCTCTCCCCCCCTTTTTTTGTATTTTGAGTTTCGGGAATAAAAATTTCGACAATTTGTTTCTTTTCTCCCGTTTCCTCTGAAAAAGGACTGAAATGACCCCAACGTTTGATGAAATGACAACTGCTCCTCCCACTTTCGAAAGCGCGCTCCGCTTTTTCCCATCTGAATGACTAATCGAAATTTTCAGATTTCGGATTCACATTGCGTCCGAAGTTTTGTTTAACTTATCGGAAAAAGCAATATTTCATGTTAGGAAAATGGTCTGAACATTATCTTTGTCGGAAAAGGTATTGGAGGTTAGGATGAGTCTTACTCATTAGATATCAAATTGGATAGCCTGGGTGAGTCATGAAGTCTAAAATTTTTTTTTAAAACTTCGTGCCCGACACTTTTATGACTACTCACTTTTGAATATTCTATGTACAAAAGATAAATAGTCTATTTGTTGACAACTCTGTAAAAAAAAATTAGGATTTTAGATTTTAAAAATAGTATGTACTGTGACAAATCATCTAAACCATCTATTTTCCCCAAACATAAGTCTTAAAATAAGTGTTAATAGATCTGCAAGATCTATATCATTTTTTTAGTTTCAAAATTTATTATTGGTATTGGAAATTGATTTTAGAGCCATCGTGAAGATTTTTATACTCAAAACATTTTTTCGGTGAAGCTTTATTTTGTTTTCATAAAGCCTATGCCCTATAAGAACTTCATCCTTCATGTTGATGTCCTTATAAAATAATTTATTTTCTCACAAAAATTTGATATGATATTCTACTTATAGTATCATTTTGGGTTTTTCTTTAATCAAAATTTCATGATTTAAAAATCTTGTTGTTGGGGCGAACTGGTCGGTCCGCTACATATATCTTCATCGGTCATTCCACTCTATCATATCATATCATATCATCATATATTTTATTAAAAATAATAAAAAAAAAAATTTAGTGGAAAATTTAGGGGTCTTAGATCGAGACTTGTATACCACTTGTTCTAATCCAACTCAAAACTGTATGAACCAATTTGATGATTTTAAAAACAATGACTTCAATATGAAATATAGTATAAAAGTTTCTTTAAAAAAAATTGACGCATGTTTCGATGAGTTTGGTTTGAAACTTTGAACTTTGAAGAGTCCATTGTAAAGGGTGGTTCCACTTTATGTATAACACAAGTAAGGTGCACGTGCAATGTTCACTCCCGAAAAGGAAAGGGAATGCTAAATTTGGGTGCGGTTTTGTAGGCCCGCGGATTTAAATGTTTGATAAAGCAGCACCTCAAAATCCCATCGAAACATGTAATTCCATTTTACCGTAACAAGCTAACATATTTACAAAATCAGAAAAAAAAATTTTAACTAATCGGAATTGACTATACAATTCTTTGTCCATCATTCTGCCTTTAATTATGAAACTTGAAACTCATAAAATGTAGATAATAGATCTGTAATTTGTAAAAACTTGAAATAGACAATCCAAAAAATATGTTAGTAGGTAAACTATTTTAGGGGCCTAAAATCCACTTTTCTTTTTGAGATTGTATATTATAAGACATTTCACTTAATACAAGAAGGTCACAATTAGTTTCAGCCATTAGATGTGAAATCCGGCATATTAAGATATGTCATAACCTTTTGAGAAATTTTATTTTTGACTTTGTGTCAAGTGAGTAATATATCCACAACCACTCGATTTCACATCTAATGATCAATAATGTCTGTACGATCTTCTTGTACCATACATAAATGGTTTTATTATATATATTTCATTTTTATTTTAAAAAATATGATTATAAAAATCGAAATGATCGATTTATACATTTTTTGGCACTAGACCTGCATCTCATGGCGATACTCAAGGTACAGCTAGCTCCACAAGGCTGCAATCCTACAAAATACTTTCCTCAATTTAGAAAATAAACATGTAATAAAAGATTTTGCGCCTCTTTAGAATCTGCTAATATATGGGAAAAATAATCTTAATCCTCCATTCTTTCATGACTAATAGGTAGCACCCCCATACCTAGTAATCATGTCATGGTTTTCAATCCGGCTAACACCATGACACCATCTATGATATCTTAAAAAAAAAAGCTAACTCCCTAATCTCTATGAAAAAACGGGTAGGGGATTGTCTATTCCACTGTATTACTCAAATAATAATAATAAAAATAAAATAACTCGAGGGTAGAGCTGCCAATTGCCAAGAAGTGTATAAGGGTGCTTTTGTCATTTGTAGAGAGTTTTGGGTTGTTAGGTTTGCCTATTGTAGGGATCTTATCTATATCGCTTGGTTATTATAAGTGTCATGGATGAAGTATTTACTCTTATTATTGAATTGGTTTTTAGTGGGGGAATGAGTAGATTGGGAGGCAATTCATGACCAAACTAAAGAGGGAGGTTTTAGTGTGCAAAAGCAAGATAGTTGGGTCATGGCAGTCATTCTCACCATGTGGATTGAAATGATTGCCCTAAGAACGAGTAGGTTTGTACAATGTGTTTGACAAATGTTTGGCTCTTTGTGGACTAAAAATGAAAAAAAAACAAGGCTATAAAATAATATAGATGACCAATATTTCAAAACCTTGTTCAGTAGGGTGGATTTTTCACCCCATAGATCCCTGTTCGTAATTGTTAGATAAGTGATCTATGAAATATTTCAAAATAAAAGAAAGATCCGGTTTCTACGCAGTCAATCCCGCATATGTAGAAATGCTGGCCTCTTGATAAATTTATTTTTGAAATAGATTTTAAAGCTTAATTTTTAAGGACATGTAATCTCTAACTTAGAAATCATGAATATGAATAAATAAATAAATATTAAAAATTAAAAATAATAATTGTAGTAAGAAAACATTTGGACTGCTAGTTTCTATTGTTTTTAGATGGAACACCTACTTGCATTCATCTTTAAGATGGATGCTTTATACTTTAGAAATGCGGTCTAGCCCACATGAAACGATTTTCTATAAAATAATAAAATTAAAAAGGGGGTTTATAGGGATGGAGATTTAAGGGGACTCAAAAAACATTTGATAGGCTTAATAAAATATATATATATATATATATAAAGAAAAAAAAAAATACAAGGTCGGGTTTTAGGGGGAACCAGGTTGGGGCTGAGACCAGTTTGGTCCCATCAAATTCCCAATTCAGATTGGTGGCTCCCTAACTAGACCATTGGGTTTCAAAACACTGAACCGAAGTAGAGCTTAAACGAGGTATTAATCAAACACAACTTATTTTTAATCTATCTTCTAAGATGAATTTAAGATATCGAGCACAATTTAAGTTGATCGGGATGCATTGCCATTTTAGAACTATGATTTTACGACTCAAAAGAGCAGTGCAGGTGTAATGATTTGAGAATAATTAAAAATGCTCAATAAATGGTCTAGAAACAAAGATAAAAAAACGACTATTTTAGATAAAAGTTGATGTAAGCCATCTATCTTATACTATAAAAGTAAGCCTCGCACTTAAAAAAATGTACATGAAAAACGCCATTTTCAATATTGGAAAACCTTTAATTGATCGTTTCTACTATGAGATGCATGAACATTAATATAAAAAAAATAGATTTCAAGACCTAAAATAACTTATCTTTAACACAATGCTCATTTTCAAGGTTTTCAAATGTTATGGATACGTTACATTATTTTTTAAGCTATAGATTTCATAACTAATAAATTTTCAATGCATCGCACGGGCTTCCAATAGTAGATCTACATTTTTCGACATGACATGGAGGTGCATCTTTGACTGTTTAAGATTGATCTTATACAACCCCTATTTTTAAAACTCATAAATTTGTTCCCTTTTTTTGTTGGCATGATATGGTGGTTGAGATAATTGACCAATCAAAAATAAAATTCATAGCAAAGATGGAAAATAGCATATTTGAATAACCAAAAACCCATGATTGAACATAGAATTAGATGGCCTAAAAAGTCCATGAACACCTGCTATTGGTTCATAGACTTCGTATAATAAGCTATGGTGGTCTTGCGGGTCCAAATTGTGTACATTGGGAGTTGGGACCCATAGGCAACATTTAGTTGGGGATTTGTGTGACTGAATGAGAAATACTGTGCTCTTATTTAAGCAGCATTCCCAAAATCAAACACCTACAAGTCATTTTCTTACTACCAAATATCAAATTTTAAAATAAATAAAAGAAAAAGAGAGAGAGTATTTAACTCTATACATAAAATTTCCATCGGAATATATAATTCAAATTCCTTCTTGGATGCGGTGTTTTGGTTTGAGTGAACTTTTGGAGGTCCAATTTTTGTTTCTTTTTTTCTTTCCAAAAATAAAGAAATAGATATCTGACTGTTGTAGATATGATTGTCATCTTAGTGTCATGAGAGCTATCAAACACTACTAAGGAGCTTCCCCTGTTGGACTTGGGCCCGCAAGACCACCTAATATTTTTTCCATTTCCAAAATTTGCTCATGTGAAAATGCACTCTGAAACTTCAAAATTCTGAGTTTTGTTTATAATGAATCAAGGATATTGAGATTATATTTGTATATGTAATAATATTTTTGTAAAAGCGCTTTCACATAAAAGAACTCCCTCAGATGAGTAGACGAGGGAATTTTTCTATACAAATTAGCTTTCAATTGGTGTGAAAAAATGCATTGGGACAAATTGGCGTAAAAAAAACTCCTACGCCTAATCTAATGGGGAGTTATTTTATGTGAAAATACTTTCACAAAAATATTTTCAAACGTACCAGATGCACCCTAAGTCTACACGATTTTCACCATGAAAAGAAGAGAGATGCCTCAACATAATGTCCCACCATCCGATTCCACAGTTAACATGTCAGAGAGAAGGAGAGGGGGGGCGAGAAAGAGAGAGAGAGAGAGAGAAACAATTCCTGTTACAACACTGTGGAAAAGACAAAAACAATAATTTTTCTAACAGAGAGGGAGATTTAAGACAACAACAACAAACCAGTTTTCCATAAGAGAGAAAAAAGAAGATAACAAACCAGTACACCATGTGGA